TCTTGAAGATTTTGGTGTTAATTTACTTGGTGGAATAACTACAACAGCTCTATAAAAACATGTTGTAGAAGGATATAATGCTATGACTGTCGAATCTTTAGGAAATTCCGGTGATCGCATTTCTCCAGGATTTGGAATTGCTATAACATTTTTTGCTGGTACTAAAAATCGTCTGTATTAACAAAGGATAATAGCATAAGATTGAAGAATAGGAAATGTGGAAATGTTTGAATTGTGAACCAAGGATGGCAAAAAAAATTAGAGGGACTTACTCGCCAGGCCTATTTGATGCCTCATCTTTATCTGCATCCTCGACTTCGTAGCTTAATTATATTAGGTGAATTATTGGAATTAGAGCACATTGGAAAATTTTGTTGAATGTTACACGCGATTTTTGTTACCTCTTTAATTCAGCTCGATATCCTACAATTGTGGCCAAAATCCAATTTTCTTCTATGTCTTTATCTCTCGGTTGTTTTGCCGCAACCTATCAAAATACATAAACCAGTATGTCACAAAATAATAATAATCCAAAAAAAAAAAAACTTACTGATGTTCCATTTTTAATAATAACGTTACTTTTCATTTGCGATCTAATAGTATCAAAAATTCAATGGCGTTAAATACAAAAGAGTAGAAATACATTAAGCATTTGTACATACACTTTTGATTTTTTTGCCTTATTGCTACCTGAAGTGATTTCTTGACTTCTTCTTTTTTTATAGAGATTTTCTTCCATATTTAAGCCATCTAACATTAAAATTAACACAGATATTGAAAAATTATAATCTTAGATAACATAGCAAATTGACGCTCAATAACAAAAGACAATACCCGATGATGTTCGGGATTCTTTTGTGGACTCCAAATACTTATCGATGTCTTTTGAGATCTTTTTATCCATTCTGAACTTATTCAAAAAAAGAAAAGAAATGGATATATATGAAAATACGATAGGTATGATAATTAATAATTGAAATAATTACTCTTCTTCACGGTTGGCCTGTTTAATAGCATCCTTATATAAACTTTCAAGTTTTACTTTGTCATCCTGAGTCGCATATCCAACTAGATACATAAATTTTATAATATTTTATTTGATTCGAATTCATTTGAATGAATAGTTCTAATCAATAAATATTAAAAGATTTAATAATTTGATAAATCAACTACCGTTCTGTATTCTGTCATGATGCTCGTTTATTGATTTAATTAGTTCGATACCTTCATCTTCTATTTTGTCCAAGTTGGCAAGACTATCATTTATTTGAGCCAAAGAAATATCTTCATGATCAGGAGATTGGCGAGAAGTTTCACCTCGATATTTGTCCATGCTCATCGTTTTTTACAGTAGTTTAATAAATTATTAATAATTAAAAAAAAAAAAAAAATTTTAAAAAAAAAAAAAAAGTTAGGAAGAAAGCCAATTGTGTAGCCCAGATTTATTATTATTCGTTTTCCAAAATTAGATGATAACCAAGATGTTACGTTAGATCTCATACATATACACAAATAAATACACTAAGATTATTATAGAAGCTTCTTTTCCTAATCTGGGGCGTGTCCCACATTTACCTAATATTAATTTTTTGTTAAATTTTTGTGCATACCGATATATATTAAGGAGACTGAACTTTGCATTTCTCTTATTTTAACATGACTCTCTCCCTTTTTCCTGATTTTGTGTTGTCACTTACCTCATTCACTTTTATTTTGTGACTTGTACTTTGTGTATAATCAATTTGCCTCTTTCACCATTCACGAAAGTCAAATTGCAATAGTTCTTAAAATCAACGATAAATCCAACCCTTCTATTATTCCTTATCCTAAATATCCATATAATCTTTATTAACTCATTGCAATAAGCATACTTGCCTATATATGCTAAGTTTAATATTGAATAAACTTTCGTATCAACTATAAATGCTTTTACTGAATAAGCTTTCGTATCAACTATAAATGCTATTACTAGACTATCTTTGTAAGATATATTTTAATAGTCTGGAACGAATAATATGTCATCAAATAACGATTTCAAAAATGAAATCGACCAATTGAACGAATCAACTGTATCTTCTATAACTGTTGATCGGTTAGACGATGTTAATCATTCGACAATAAATGCCAAGCAATTAACGCCGCGTCGATCTTCGACATGGCCTCTTGTTCCTCCAGACCTTCCAAATAATAATACTTCGTCTGCAAGACATAGTGCTGACAGCATAATGCCTGCTTCTAAACATGTTAGAAATCTATCTTTGAGCCAACGAATAAATCAGTCATTAAATCAGAAACGAGAAAGTCTTAAATATGCAGCAAAAAGAATATCATCAATAGTAACTGGCTCTAAGGAAGATATCATCATTCGTAAAATTCCAATCATTCCGGAGAGAACTGATCCGCTAATAGATCCTAAAACTAACTCCCCATTTATTAGCAATTCTATAAGAACTTCACGTTACACCTTCTT